AGTTAGAATTAACTAGACATTGTGCAAACGCCCATTAAAGTTAAAGTTGCTTTAATTTTTTTTTTTTTTTTTTTTAATATAAAACCATTTTCCTACTTACAAGACATATCGGATTTTTCTAGATTTTGAATGCGCTACACAGTGTTATGGTTACTTTGTCACATGCCGGTGTGCTCTAATAGCTAACCTCCACGAAAATTTTTTTCTTGTAGATTTTTTTTTTTTTATTACCTAAGCCAATGAAAAGTCTTTTTGCACTGTATGGATTCTAGTCTATATTTTACGCTGGAAATATGATGACAAGTCAGCAAATTCTTCGCCTATTCTGTAGCTTGCAAAATAAATTTTAACTGAATACAAATTACTCATCATAAACATTTTGGAAACAATTTCACATTAATTAAAACTCAAGAATTTTTAGTTTAATTTATGTTAATAAACAATAAATTCACAGCTGTGTTTATGTAGCGTAACCGATGGCAACATGTATTGCTTGTGGCTAGTTATGGCGCCATTGTTATCTTAACTTTACGCTAAAATTATTCACACGACCATGGATAGATATGTAGATATGTAAGTACATGCATATATTAAATTACCGTAAAGTACCCGAAGCGCCTGAAAATATATTTTATAAAATTCAGTCATCATCTAGTTGAACTAATCGAAAAGTTGGAAATATGTAAAACTGAAAACCGTAAAATACCTAGTATAGAATAAAAATTAAAATTTAAAACAAAATATCATTTTCTATTAGATAGTAATTTATTTTAAAAGCCAACTGCCAGCAACACATGACTAACTAAATTTATATTTATTTTTCTCTTTCTCTTCCTTTTGTTTGCTCTACTTCACCTTTTTCATGTAATTTTTCGCTGCTCGTACAAAACATCATCGCCCGTCAACTAAATATTGCGCGCATTCCGTCTACGCTGGAAATCCAAATGTTATCATTATTGTGTTACATGCATACATACAAAATATTTTACAATTTTGCTGCTAACTACAAAACAAAATGTGATAACAAAAATGAAACAAACAAAAATGTAAATCGCTGATATAAACACATATTTCATTGGGCCGTTGCCACTCAACACCAACGGCATACCGTCACCTTGGCACTTCACCACCACAACCACCCCGAACACCAATCACGTGCAACCGTCAAAATCGTCTGTTGCAACATGTTTTTGACGACGATGATGACGATGACGATGACGATGACGATGACTTCGCTGGACACGATGACATCACTACCATGTCAACGCCGTGCAATGCAACCAACATCAACAATATAACAACGACCACTACATGTCTACGAAACACATACAACAAAAACAAAAAAAAAACACAATCATCCAACATTTTAACAATGCACCTTTCGCAACAAAATAATGAAATGTTTACGCTGCTACTCACTTATTTACGCGATTTCATTGTGTTGCCATGGCTATTGTTGCACTTGCTGCGTTTCGTTGCGTTTACAGTGCCACCTGATATTCTTGATTATCCAACCAGCACCGATATGGTGATACGAGAAGGCTCCAATGTTACGTTGAAATGCGCAGCAGTTGGCTCACCAACGCCGACCATCACGTGGCGGCGCGAAGGAGGCGAACCCATACCACTGCCAAATAATTCAGAGGGTAAGTGAAAGGAGAAATATGTACATATTTACATATACATACAGGGTGTCCTAGACCAGCCGTTCAACCCCTCTAAAATGGAGGTATTATCCTATAAACTCGGAGCTGCTCTATCTTTTGGTAGTATCACCCACCGGAATTGGGTTAAACTGACCGGAAGTCCCCTTTGTTTTTTTTTAAACATATATGTTTTTACTACGGATTCGGATGCCGAGTATAAAAACACGTAGCTTTTGTTTGAAACTTTTTACGCGAAAGTGCCTTTTTCAACCACGAAATGACTTTCGAACTTCAAATTGTCCTGGACTGCTTGAATGAGTGGAAAATTTTTTGTTGGAAAACGAATAAAATATGAATTACAAAGTCGGGGATGCTCTATATTTTGTTCGTTTTTGACTGGAAGGTGGGTTAAACAGACCGGAAGTGCATTGTTTTAACCGGAAGCCCATTTTATAAAAAAGCTTCCGACAAAAGTTATGTATTATTGTAGTCTCGAAATGGATTACTATACTCAAGTCAAGTTGTCGACCTAACTGTAATGGCTTGTTTCCAGAGATATATACGTACATGGGAATACATATTTGTGTCGTACCTCCTTATAAGCTCGTTTAAGGTTTTTCTGCACTTCATGACTATCCCCGATTTGGATTTGTGACACTCGAGCATCTTAGTAGTTGAATGAAGAGAGGGAAATTGATCAGGCCCATTGGATCTTCGCTAATTGGTCTAAGTTCAGTTAACAACGCAGCAGTGATCTTAATTAGACCTCTTTGGAGGTTGAGGAACCCCATTTTCCGTCGTGAAACCCGATTTATAGCCATCGATGTATGTGAGCTGAGAATCAGAATACAAATCCAAGGCTAAATCCGCTTTTCCATGCTCCTTTTGAGGGGATCTTTACTTGGAGATAGTTCCGTCGAAAATAACACGATATTGAGCTGATCTTTATGAATGCAGGAGTACCTTAATCTGCAGGTGGAATTTCTCAGTTTTATATTTTTTTTTGCAGCTTTTCGACGCCAAAAGTTTGTGTCTTTATGGCGGCTGAAGGCCATGGAAGCTTAAGATGAAGGCTTGAGAGCTTAAGCAAACCCTGTGTTCTGCGGTTACCAGCAGCGGCCATAGTAATATTATATTACATATTATGTAGAAGTCTTCCAATCTCAGTAAAGACAGTTTCTGAAAGAAGTCGCTAGATGCTCTTTCAATGTCCATTTTGGAGCCATATGAAGATAGAGACCACTTCAATGCATATAACAATATTAAGTTCCCAATCACATCTGCCGGGAAAGTGAAAGAGTTAAAGTCAGCTTCCTCGATATGAATATGATAATCTCAACTACAGCAGAAAGAGTAGGCGTTTCTAGAATGGAAGTTCGGCCCCTGCCAGTAGTAGTTTGTAAGCTGTTAGACACTTTAAGAATTGCTTTGAGTTTTTCGGAAATTTTTTGAAACTTTTCAATTATTTTTTTTTCGATTTTTCAAGTTCAACGATACCTTTATTGTTAGTTAAATTTTTTGGTTCTGCAAAAAATATGGAATTTTTTTTTGCGAATTTTTAAAATTTGTTTCAAATATCGTAGTTTATGAATTCTAGAATTCAACTGGTAATTCATTTTCTTTCTTATGTTGGTATAAAATTTTAATGACTTTTTGGGATTTTGCGGTGTAAAAAAAATATTTAAATTTCATTAATTCCGGACTGCGACTTCTAATTATTATATTAATTTTTCTTTTAAATATTTTCTAAAATGTTTCTTGGGAATTCTCGGTTTTTTGTTTTTGAGAATCTCAGATTTTATGAGTTTCGGCCTTCGCATTTTATTTCCGCCTTAAAAAAAATTATTAAGGCAAAACTAATCGGTATTTCTGGCTTAAAATTATAAGAATAAATAATTTAGTAAATTTTGGAGCTTTTTATTTGGCATGGGCTCTGATAAATATACCTACTTAAGTCATACATACATATAATAAAATGTTTACATGTGGATATGTATGTGAGCTCTTACGTATGTTTGTATTAACACAAGCGCTGCCTTTCATCAAACCAGCTGAACCTGATCTAAGTGCATGCACGTGTCGCGGTTTCCCATGCCACCCGTGGCAACATATTGCATTTCTACGTTGCTGACAATCTCTAGTGGCTTGTTGCATGTTGCATGTTGTACATTGCATATTGTGCGGTTAGACGCAACACTATCAATACAACACCAAAACACCAAACGGACAAACAAATGCCATATGATACACAGCCTGTGGGATGTATATATGCGTGTGTGTGTGTATCAGCGAATTGAATACTAAATGCAACATGCATATGAGCAGTAGCAGTATGAACAACAGCAACATTAGCCGCAGTAAACCATGCCAACAACAATAGCTATGCATGGAAATAAAAAACCAGTAGTTAAACAAAATAAACAGCAACAAGCTAACAAGGGTGATGACAGTATGATGCAAAAATCGTCGATTTTATTTTGGTAGCAGTTAAATTAATTTGAAAAAATTCTCTAAATTAAAATAAATTAAATTCGTTAAAATGAAGCTCAGTTGCACGGCAATATAATTAGCGCACATAGCAATGCATTTATTTATTTTATTTAGTCTCACTCATTGGCATTAATTGTATTTAACCATATTTGGCTGATATTCCCCACAACTGGTTCAAAACGTTATTTAGTTGTAATTAAAATACGAAAATATTGCCGATTTACCATTTTAACCTTCTGCACGCTTGGTGTGATCCGAGAGCCGCGACTAATATTCAAAAGGCCTTAACAGGTCATTAGTAGCTGAAGTCATTTATTCCAAGGAAAAGAAGCATATATTTCATTTAACTTTCGAGTTTATAAATTTACTTTATAAATATTTATTATTATGAAGCCACAACCTCTTTTAATAGGCTGTAATACGTAGCGTCCAAAGTTGCGGTCTTCTGCACTCCAGCCACTTCAGCTCACCAGGCTTACGGAAGGTTAAAAAAGCTTTTATGGAATGCCACACCGCTTGTAAGCGTATCTATTGAACACCGCTTTTTATTAGCAGCAAAATTTAGACGAATAAAAGTCCAATTAACTTTGAATTTTTTAAAAGCCTAAAGATGGCATCGATATACTATTTTTTTAAGGCATTTCGAATATGATAGCCCTTCACAAAATAATAGCCGTGACAAGTGCAAACAATTATGGTTATAAATATGTGGAATTTTGAAAAAAAAAGAATCTATTATAAAAAATTAAAATAAGCTTCAGGCAAACAAATAACTAAAACTCATTCTATTTATTTCTTTAATTGTCCATATTCCGACCTCAATCTGAAGGCATCAGCCTTCAAAGCATAGTTTACATTGTACGAGTGTATTGTTGCTGATTGAGCCTTGTCAGTGTGGCTCTAGACCTGGCAAATCCAGGTATACACAATAAGGCAAATCTTTGGAAAAGACCCGCGAGACAAAGAGCGACTTCATACGCGGCGATGTCTGAATTTTGTATGCCGGCGAAACTGGTATAGCTATGTAAAATGACGGTGAGCCACCAGCTCCGTCAGAATTGGGAATAACCGCCCAGAGCCGTTTGCTACCAGACGGGGTTTCAAACACGGCGACTATCTTTCATGTGACATCTTTAATCTGAACTTGCAGATGATAATAAGAACTACAGAACCACTCCGGAACAATTGTTTACAAGAGCATACAATTCCTGGCGTACACCGATGACATCGACATCATCGGTAACAAAAGCTGCGAAGTTTATTCTGCCTTTTCCAAGTTGGATAAGGAAGCAAATCGAATGGGTCTGGTGGTAAACGAGGACAATATAAAATATCTGCTGTCATCAAGCAAACAGTCAGTGCATTCGCGCCTTAGCATCCACGTCATTGTTGACAGTTATGATTTCGAGAAGGTAGAGAATTTCGTTTATTTAGGTAACAATGATAATAATGTCAGCAAAAAAAAAACCTATTGCATAATCACTCTTTAGAAAGACTAATTGAAACTTCTGCTAAAGAGGAGGTCTTAGCATCTTTCTGTTTCTCTTTTTGCAATTAATTTTATAAAAATAGAATGAAATTTAGAAAATATATACCTTTCTTTTTTAAAAAGAAAACTAAACTAAAATAATAGAAAAAAATTAATAAAACATAAATACAAAATTTATAAAATAAGTTTCTAAAAACTAAGTCAAATTTAAAAATACATATGCCTTTCGAATGGCACCTCGGCCATTGCGACTATTGAGTAGCGCGCGCTAAATGATATACATACATACATCTCCATTTAGAACAAGCTCAAGTGCTCTCTGTCAAAAGAACTTTTCATCATGAAAGTTGACAAGGGAGCTTTTGTTTCTAAGACTTTCGTGCCAGAATAAATAAAACCTTTCAACTGTCTTGCCGACTGTATTTGAATTGTCTTACAAAAGACTTAAAACTGTCTTACCCAAAGTTGTCCTGTATAAATTAAGCAAGGATCGCACGATTTGTACACACCTTTGCCATTTTGTACCATTTTTGGTACATTATTTCCAGTTTGATACAATGGCACATAACTTACAGATTTGGTACATTTTTGTATTCTATTAAAACGAGATCATTATACATCATATATTTACTTATTGAAAAGTCTGGCCATTTTGTGAAGGCCAACATGCATACATATCAATCAGGCAAATCTCAGGTAATTGAAAAGACATTGCTGTTAAGCAGATAGACCTTTGTGCGTTCCTTGACAATTCAGCTCCGTATCAAACACACCATACAAAGCGAAATCCAAGGTGATGACAGGAGGTGAGGATATTCCTAATACTCATCCTCGTGATGCTCTGCGATGAAGCCTTACAACTGACTGAAGAATAGTGCTCTGTAAAAAAGCTATCGCCAGAGGCGAGGTATCCCTCAAAAAAAGACTGAAAGTCACATAACAAAGATGGCAAATAATTAAAGGTTAAAGGTTAAACATGGGAGATATCCCCCAAATTTACGTCAGCACTGGTCTAGTGGCCAAAAGTCAAGCAAACTGGTTCTGACGCTGGGCTGGGCAAGTCACATTGATGAGCCTGTGCAGCCATTACAGGAGTCATGCGCACCTGCCCTACAAAATCACTGGAAATCATGACAGGTATACCACCTCTAGCCACACCAATTGACAACGAGGTTTCCGAGGGCGCTTTGTGTCTCAGCAACTTCATGAGAAAAAGAAGTCGAGACTTTCGATAAGCTCCTAATATTTTTAAAACCATTCCTTGAGGATCAAACTCAGAGACAAAATACTATCAAAATTAGCCCTGAACAAGGCCTACGAGGTAACTATTCTTAAAAGTGACACTTGCAGAGTCTGGTAAATTGGTGAATGCATGCTCGAGGATGAAAATGCTGGTGCCAGACAGCACTAAAAGCCCTGGACTTCTTGAAAATTACATCTAGGCATATGGACAACTGAAAAACTCTATTGAACCAATTAAACTAGCACCAGGTGGGTACCAGGACATGAGGATTGTGGTGGCAAAGAAAGAGCTAACGGTGTCGACAAACGCAAGTACCAGCACTGTCTATATAGGTTCCACAGCTTTTCTGAGCTCCTAAGTGAAAAAGCAATATAAAAACATTATGACATTCCCTTCTTGGAATGATTTCTGAATTGTAGACGAGACGGTCTGAGGACTTTCAAGGGCTCTTTAATAGGTTCTGTGACCGGAAAATGTTATGCGATTGTCCACAATAGGTCAATGACTCTATCATGTCGTGGATCGGTTATCGGCTCCATTCAGATTCTGGAACATGACACCCTCTAAAGTGCCAAATTTCATAAGTGGCCTAAGGGTGTAGTGAATTTCTATGTAACCAGTTCACTAGATATGTTTACGTCGCATTTATTTCCTCAAATAATAATAACAAAAAAAAAACTTTTTGGGCATTATTACAGAGAATTTAACTTAATAAATTTATATTCCAGCATTATAAAATAGTTCACAAAACACTCGAAAAATTCGCTAATTTAGTATTTCCCCAATATGTATTTGGAAAATATTTGAATAATGAAATACATAGACAGAACATATTTTGGTAAATTTTTTACATTGTGGTACTCTTTATGGTACAAAAAAAAAAAGAAGTAAGTGGCAACCGTGTTTGTACATTTGTACATTTTGGCAGCCATAGAGTGGTTTTATACAGAAATTTGTATCGAGAAAGAGTTCAGCTCAAAATCTAGACAAATGTACAAATCTTGTGATCCCAGATTTAGTCACTATTTATGTGACTTTCAACAATGTGTGGTGAAAACTAACAGCGGCGGTCAGCGCTCGTGGTGCTCCAACAGCCGCAATGGTCGAGTGCGCCAAGCACTAGGGTGCCAAACGAGAGATCCTAAGTTCGAACGCACGGGCAGCGGAGTTTTTTTTTTCTTCCAAAGTATTTAGGTCAATTTCTAATAAAATTTTTTGTTAAACAAAATCTTCCTCGCATCATTTTCTAGCTTTTTAGGGTAAAATCGAAAGGGCCCGCTGACAAATGAGTGAATTAATTTTCATACTTTCCTTTCAATTCAAATGAATTCTTAATTTATAATATGCGTACCTAACAGAGTAGAGAATTTCGCTAAAGCAAAACAATTTTCACAAATTCTGAAATATGCTGTTCGTCGCCATATCGATTAAATTCTAAAAAATGCGTTGGACTAAACATTTCTGATTTAAAACGTCTAAACACACAAATATATGTACATACGTAATACACACATAAATGCTTCCACGTGAATACAAATATACGTATGTATGTATATACATCAAGCACATGTATGTACCCTGCAGGGAAAGCTACCAGGTGGGAACCAGAATGCTACCAGTTTGCGTTTCAGCCCAACTAGTTCACGTTGTATCCTTTTTCAATGTTAGCGACTGGTATTTTTAACATGGCGGTGTCATAGGAGATGTGAATTGTCCGCTCCTACATCAGCACGCTACCAGTAGAAAAACTAGTAGCATCATACCAGTAGACGGGATAGACTGCCTATTCGTCCCCCGTGAAAAGCATAAGTATATCATTTTGCTCGCGGCGCTGCAATAGTGGCAATGGTCGACAGAGTAAAGCTTTGGCACGCCAAATCCAGAGATCCGAGTTCGAATCACAGTGAGCGAACCTTTTTTTTATTTTTGTTATTTTTTTTTTTTTTAATTTTTTTATTTATATCTCTTGTGTAATTTTTAAATTTATTGTTTTAAAAAGAACAAAAAATTATTTATTTTAATTTTTTATGGTATTTGAGTGAGTATTTAGGTTTTTTCCAAATCAAATTAAATTTATGTACAATTTTTATTTTATATTTAAATTGAAATAATTATTTAAATTAATTTACTTACTTTACTTTAACAACCTCCACGCGCACTCGAACCTGAGATCTCGGAACCAGAATCGGTAGTTTTCACTCGACGCCACAGCCGACAATTATGATGAAAGCAATTAACCACGTTTTAGTTTTGGTTATGCCTATTCAAAGACAGATGTCGCTAATCGCATAAGTTGTTCGAAATCGCCGAAATGGGTAGGCCGTCGCTTTAGCACATACTGGTTAGTGAACTAGCATTTATACTGGCTGGTTTGGCATTTCACTGCGGAGAACTGGTATAATTATAGTCCATGAGGAACTGGTATGACTCTCCCATTTAATACCAGTTTTCGAACTAGAATTTCTACCAACTAGTTTACTTTTTTCTGCGCGAAACTAGTATAATTATGGTTCATAACGAACTGGTATGACTTTCATCCTTAAATAATAGTTCATGAACTGGAATTTGTGCATACTGGTTCAGCTTTTCACTGCAGGGTATGTCCAAAACTTTCGAAATAACTTTCCCATTGTTCCCGCAATGAAACGAGCAACAGCAGTGCTCTAAAATATTCATTATTATTGTAAGTTTTTGTCATGAATTTCCCATGAACCGGAAATGGATCAATACAAAATGCATTTATGAAATCATTTTACATTTTAAATGCTTGATATTCAATGTTGGTTGCCACGTTGCTAAAATCACTTATAAATGAAAATTTGATTATGTGTTTTTTTTTTTGCAAATCTTTTGATTTCATTATAAATGGTCATCAATGTCATACTCTACAAATACATAATATTAGCAGTAATAATATTAGCATACAAGCATGCATTCATGATGCTATTAATTTAATATAAGCCGCATGACATTGAACTGATTGAATTGATTTGACGTGAACAGTTTTGATATTTAAGTACATACATACAATATGCACATATGTATATCACATTTTTAATTCCCAAAAAGTTTATAAAGAAATATGTCTGTGTTCGTATGGAATAGTAGCTTATGTCGAAAGGCTAGCTTTCGTGGAATAATTCCTGTTGAGAACGCTCTCGATAGTTTCGTTCTCACTTTCGGGTTTGTGAAAATACTCCTGAATGTTTTGTTCTCATTTCGGTTTGGGATTTTGAATGTTCTTGGGAAAAAAACTACGAAACGATGTCTACTATACTTTCGATCATACCTGTATTTATCTGGTTACAAAACTAATAATTTTTCCTTTCATTTCAGTGATCGCCTACAATGGCTCCTACTTGACCATATCGAAGGTGAAACGTTTAAATATGGGCGCATACTTGTGCATCGCTTCAAATGGCATTCCACCAACGGTCAGCAAGCGAGTAATGCTAATTGTGCACTGTGAGTATATACACTACATATGTATATGTATTAGGGTAGGAATGTATAAATGTATACGACTCATAAATGTATAAATGTATAAAGCATTTAAAAAATGCATACTAACAAATTGTTATTAACATAGTTGTACGTGCATATGTATAGGGTAAATACATATTTATGCCTGTACATATGTGTGAATGAGTGAAGGCATGCACATTATGGTGGTCCAAAAATGCATGTGAAAAAGTAAAGTCGAAGTTTTTATGCTCTCACCAACTAGGATTATTCTATACCGAAAAAATATACGCCTATTTTTATAGCCGAGCGCACTTGTGCACAAGGATATTATAACTTTGTTCACATTACGGTTATTTATAACAGCCAAAACCAATCGAGATAGATATAAACAAATATATACAAACATGCTCAGAATGAAAAAAGAAATATATTATTCCGTCCGTCCGTCGGTACACACCATAACTCGATTAAAAATGCATATATCTTAACGAAACTTCATAAGTGTACTTCTTTTGAACGTAGGACGGATGGTATTGAAAAACCAAAAAAAATATCGGACAACATCCACGCCCACTTCCCATATAACGGTATTTTCGAAAAAGGCTAAAACTGCAATTATTCAGTAAATACTATTACGTCCAAGTTGTTGAAAACTAGTATTGGAAGTATAATTTGGGTACAAAAAATACTATAATGAAATTTTTGGAAAATTTGAACGCTTTGAGCGACCTCAAAATTTTTTTTTTTATCTCAAAATAAAAAGCATAAATGTATATATTTTTTTGATATATATGTATATAACAATCCAAGGGGGTGAGAGCATTAAAATTCCGACTTTACTTGGACCACCCTAATGTGCATACATACTCATACGTATGTAATAAGGGCGCATGCAGTTAATTTCATTTGAAATTTAATTAAAACCGTATTGCATTTGCGATGTTGGCAGGTCGGTATATCGAAAAGCTACATATCTAATTGAGGACGCATATATGTATGTAGTGAAATAATTGCATGAGCATGGGGTAGAATGAGGAGTATAATTACTTTTTAGCTAAAGCTATTTAATGTCTACGACAACTCATTTGGTAAACACCTACTAAGTGTAGCCAGAAGCTTAGTTTACGTTTATTGCTAGAGCTTGCTGGCAAATTTTTAAATAAATTTTCCAGAGTAATTTCATTTTTTTTTTGTGAAGAATATTCCAATAACTATCGCAATAATTTCATTCAGGCTCTGGTGCATATCTAAAACGAAAATTGGTGATCAATTTGGTAAAGCCGAAATTTTTTGTAGATGTCTTTCGAGTGAAATTGATATGCCGATAAATTGCTTAGGCCGGAAGATAATCCATACGGATCCATAATCTACGACCCAATAGTAAGTTTACGTGTGTCGGCGTTTTTTGTGTCAATACCAGAGATCGAAAATAACCGTCACTAAGTGTCTCGTATGGTGTTTACCACTGACACAAACACTCATCTCTCAAGCAAAGAGTTTTTCTCACCGTGGCAAATCAGTCTGTGCGATCTTTATGTGCTTTCCGTTGTGGGTTATTTATTATTATTTATTATTAGGCTTCCCAAGGGAAATTGGGCAAAAACACTTTGGCAGGGACTTATATTTTTAAGTGTCTTAATTTGTGGGTTATTGTAGGACTGAAAACTATAAGTGGGCGTAATAAGTGGAAACAATGCGTTAGGAATTTCATTACACGACATATACATACGTGCACATATGTTCATGTGCGAACATTTATGACAAAGAAAACAGCGTGCACATCCTTAATACGATACACCAAAAATAAGCTATTTTATTTTATTGATAAAGAAAAGTATAAAGGCAAAGGTAAAAATAAAAATAAAAAGAAAAACAAAAATTAAGATCAAGGTAAATTTAAAAACTTTACTAATATAAGGGCAAAGGTGAAGGGGAATATGTAGATGTAGTAAATGATAAGCATAAAGATGATAAAGATAAATATTAAGAAAAAGATGAGGATGAAGATAAAGGAAGAAAGATTAAAATAAAAGTAATTATAAAGCAAGTGATATAGTCACAGAGACTCAACCTGGGAACTAGGAATGTTCGATATTTAAGAAAGAATCGATATCATGAATCGATTTAATTCATTTCCATAGTCCAAAAATCCCGAAACAGTCCACAAATCCCGTGGTGGTCCGGAAGATCCGAAAATCCGGAAGAAGTCAGGAAAATCACGGATTAGTCCCGAGGATCCCGAAAATTCCAAAGTAGTCTCGAAAATTCCGAAATAGACCAAGAGTCCCGAAGTATTCCCGAAGATTCCGATAATATCGAAGAAGTCTTGAAGATCCCGGATTTGTCCCGAGGATCCCAAAGTAGTCTCGAAAATCCCGACGACGTCTCGAAAAATCCGAATTAGTTCCGAGGATCCCGAAAATCCCAAAGTAATCTTGAAAATCCCGAAATAGTCCAAAAACCCCGAAACAGCCCGAAAATCCAGAAGTAGTCTCAAAAATCACGAAGAGTTTTGTAGAACTGGAAGTTGAAAGATACTTGAATATCTTATTCGCGTTGAATCACAAAAGTATTATTTAATTGAAAAATAACAAATCAAATTCATTCGCTCTACAAATTAAATAAAAAATGTTTATTTCTTCTTTGGTTGACAAATCAAACGACAAATAAATTTTATTTTTTATTTGGTCAACAAACCAAATCACAAATCAAATATATCTCTTAATTGATAGCGGATTTTAAATCAATAAGGATTTAAAAGCACGCAACCCTGCCACCGCATGACCATGACATTGACGTTGCTTACATCTCTCTCTATCTCAATCAACAGCAAACTTGATATATTTCTACACACTTCTACGGTACCCTGCGTACACATTCGTGAGTAACCGCGCTTAACTAACACTTATTTTTCCTCTTCCAGCGATAAGTGTCCATGTCCAACAGCAACGGAAAAAGATATGCAAATAACCCTTTCCCACTGAGAGGAGCACACATCTACAAAAAATAAATCACCTGTTCTGTTTTGTGGGTTATTTTTTCTCTTAAATAGGGATGGTTATTTTGGGACACTTTCAAAGTGTTGAGGGATATTTTCGACCTCTGGTCAACACAAATATAATACATGGGAAACTGTGAGCGCTTTGAACGACCTCTAAATAAATTTTTACTTCAAAATAAAAATAAAACGGTGTACCTATATTTTTTCACTATAAAACATTTCGTCACTACACACGAATAAAGGCGCGATAGTGTTTTGACGGCGAAAATATGCGCGTAAAAAAATGTTTTTTTATGCGTCTTTTTTCTCCGTCAAATTTTGAGCTCGCGCCTTTATTCTTGTCTGGTGACGATTTCCAGGTGGTGAGAGCATTAATATTCGGACTTAACATTTTTTTTTTACCACCCTAATGTACATCTTTACGTATTGCATAAGTGTAAATATTAGAAAATTTCTTGCTAACTTCTTCCACCCTGGAAGTTTCTCCACTAAGTTTCACTTCTTCTGCGTGGAGGGACTACACGCATTAAGTTTTTTTTTTTCCAAAACAACTTGCAATTTAAAATTTTAGCTTTAGGAAAAAACTAGTTCCCATTTTTCGTTATTTTCTCTTTAACCTTGAACACACAACAATACATTTTGCACTCACCAACCTCAACATTAACATAAAAAAAAATACATATTTTCATTTAAAATTTTCATAATAAACGCGCGAAATTTTGTTTTCCACAAGGTTGTTCTGTGACAAAAGAAAAACATAGAAAGCTGCTGTTGTTACTGCCGTTACACTGCTGTGTATTGCTACCTACAGCTGGAGTTGCATTTCCTCACCACTTGTCATGCATCGCCCATTTTGCTTTCGCACACTTGAGTTTCATTGAAATTCTATTACACACACAAACAAAACTGCATACAGCGTTGCCATAACTTCAGTGCCAAAGTGTCGCAACCGTAATAACAACAACAATAACCAGAGCAAACAATAATTGTAATAACAAGCAATATTATAGTGTGGTGCGGTGAGTGTAGTGTTTTGTTGCACAACCGCGTTGCATGGCTACGTTTGCTTGCCGCTTTAATAGAATTTGCCGTCGCCTCAACAAACACACACACACAAATATAAAAATTTTTGCATGCATATAAACGTTGTTTGCTACCAACAAAAGGGCATTCAGTTCTAGCGAGTAAGCATCGACGCGCTGATATGCCACGCAGGGCTGCCAACTATGCTTAGCTATGAAGTGCCATATTGAGGATTAAAAAAGTGCCAAATAGCAAAATAAAAGTGCCAAAAAAGGTGTATTTTTTTTTTTAGTTCTCCCCATTCAGCATTAAAATTAAAAACACATTCCTAAAACAAAATTCCAATGCCAAAGTAAGACGAAAAAGTTGTATACACTATAGAAATTAGAAAATTTTAGTTGAGGAAAAGAAGTACTCCGCAGAGGATTTCAAAACTATGTATTGAAATATTACTATTGGTGCCAAATTGAAAAATTAAGTGCCATTTGAAGTAAAATAGGGCCAAAAATGCCACGATTTTAGCCAAGTTGGCAAGCCTGATGCCACGCCTGTTTGCTTGCACTTGGCCAACGACAACTTACACGACCAGCTGACAATGCGGCTGCCTTTTACGCCCTACTGCAATTGTTAGATACATACATACATACGTAGGTATGTATATATTAGCATACTTGTATCCATGTGTGGGTACTTCCTCTTTGTTTTGTGGCTGCGAAATGTTTGAAAAACTTGCTGCCTCTGCGCTATTTTTCTACGCTTCACTTTTAATTCAATTTTTTCCTTGAAAGTTTTTTGCGCTCCTTAATTGTGTTTTTATTAACTGTCTGCAATTATGCAACCACCATACACATAAGAATCGTGTAAGCGCAAACAAGTCGATTCACAACCGACCCTTAGCGACCTTAGTCGAATGCCGTACATTTAGCATAACCTCAATGCGCCTATATGTATGCAACATAAATTTATTCTCATTTTT